CCCCAAAACCCCAAAACCCCAAAACCCCAAAACCCCATTCTGATTCTCACAGGTTGATATTTTGTGTGTGAAATTTAATAATTGACAACTGTTCTTCTCCCAATGGCTGACTCAACTCTCCGGTGCTTGGGAGGGTTCAGAGTCAGAATGGTGGTCTTGTTCTTGCTTTTAAAGTTTTGGCCTGTGATGTAGGTTATAATGGGTTCTGATAAATAGAAATTTTGGCAATAAATGTTTGATTCTTACCTCTTTCTGGAGAGAAATGGTCTGTCCATCTCATACTCTTGTTCGTCAAAATTTTTCTGTCATTGAAACTTTGGTTTTGGATATGAGATTGGTGATACTTGTTATCTGAACTTTTAAATGGACCGAATGCTGGCAACTTTGAAATTGTGCTATCTCTGGGTTTTGAGCTAGTTTGATGGCCTTTACCTGACTTTAACCCTGGAGACATGGCATCCTTCCGCCTACAAAGATTAGATATTAAAACATACATTTTAGCTGAGCGCAGTCTTTTCATGGAATCTGACGCTGGCAGTTTTGACTTCTTACGCACAGACGAAAGCAAGGCATTTCTTTCTTCATATACATCAAACTCGTTCTTAAGCTTTTCTTCCAATAATGAATTGTTTTCATTTAGCAACTGATCGAGCCTGATGAGCTGCAAGTCGAGTCCTTCAGCTTCATAGTTTATGGTCATTTCCTCTGTGGTTTGAGCATTTTGAGATTTCTTTTGTAAATTGAGAATGTCTCCTTCAGCTGCAACATAAGGCTTTTCTTGTTTGCCGTACAGCTTTGCTTCAAACTCATGAAGGTCTTTCTGTTTGAGCAAGTACAGGTGTGTCTTGATGCTTTCAAGAATATTCATATATGAAGAGGTAGTTCTCATCAAATAATCCTCGGTCTTTGCATTATTGTTATGCACAGATTGTATCTTTTGTTTGAGAGTCTGAAGATCAAGATATGTATCTGATCTATCCCTTTTGGATCTAGAAGTTATCACAAGATATTACTGTTTGATAGACTCATTGACATCTGTGTGCAGAGCATTTATGTAATCTTTCTGTTCAACTAGATCATTCCGGACCTTAAGTGTGATATCTTTAAAGTTCTTCTGAAGAGACTTTGAGAAATTGTCCTCAAACTCCATTTGGCCATTACTAATTTTTTCAGTTTTTACCTGAAGTCCTTTGATGCTATTTGACATGTCTATGATTCTTTGAGCGAGTTACCTGTCAGAAACTTTACGAACTGTTCATCAATAGCAGTCATTGAGACTAGTTCTGTTCTTGATCTGACTCTCCTGTTAATTGAGTCAGTTTCTTCAGATTCACTTTCAGAATTTTCAAATTCGCTATCGAACAGTTATTAAGAAGTTACCTTGAAGATTCTTCTGAAGTGAACTCATTATCTTCAATGACAGGCTCATGTTCACGCTCTTCTTGGGAAGAGTATTCATCATGAATGTCTTCTTCTGGCTCTTCTGGCTCTTCAGACTCTTGGAAATCAAGTGGAGACTCAGAAGGCAGTCTTTCTTCAGCTTTGACTTCCTCATTGTTTGTGTGAACTTCGATTTCATTTTTTCTGAAATCTTGAGACTTCACTTCGTGAGCAGAGACAGGAACATCTTCAGCTTTGAGTTCATCTCGGATTGTCGTGAGTACTTTCGAACTGACTGGGACTTCTTTTTCGACGCTTTGTCTCTCTGTCTTGTCTACGAGAGTTGGATCATTAACTTCTATTGAAGGATATTGATAGACTGTGTGTTGAGGTACAATTATACTTTCATTCTTACTCTCCACCATTTGAGATGCTACTCTCTTGTTGAGATTATACATTCTTGAGGGTTCATCCGGATCTTTCTTGACTGAGAATTGGGAGCTATTGTGTGAGATTACACTGCTTTCTTTCCTTCTTGATTTCTTGTATGAGATTACACTGCTTTCTTTCCTCCTCGATTTCTTGTATGACTTTTTATTTTGGTGATCCTTTCATAGAGGTAGTACCATTTGAAGTGAAACTATCCATTTTGCCTTCTCTCCTCAAAGTCCCAATTTTAAACTTCTTCGTTTTTGAAGAAAGCTTTACCTTCTTGAGTTTGCGAGGGTTTTCTTCGTATACACTCGTTTTGAAATCACTTGGAATTCCAGTATCATTTTGAAGCTCCTGCTTGAAAAGCCAATCTCTTTTGGCTTCATAATCTTTGAGCTTACGGAGTTCTCTCTTGCTTTCAAACACATTTCTAAGTGAACTGACAATGAACTTGTGCACTTTAACAGGCAAATACTTCTCAATGTAATTCTCAGTGGATGTCAACTTACTACTGACATCTTCAGCTGCCTTACTTCAAGTAGTCAACTTTTGTTCCAAACTTTCAGAAACAGATTTGAGCTCAGCATTTTTAACATAATCTTTGGTCAGAAGAGTCTGGAACTCATCGATGTTGCTCCTTGCTTTTTCAATTGAAACTCCATGTCTTGAGATGTCTTGTTGATGATGTGTCAAAAGCTCATCTACTCTACTCTTCCACTCGCCAATTGCTTCAAGTTGGTTCTTCAGGTCATCGATCTGAAGTTTGAAAGTGATGTCTTTCTTGTCTTCAGAAAAGCGTTTCTGTAACTCATCAGCCTTGCTTTGGTGCTCAATGATTCTGGAGTTGACAGTAGAGACTTCTTCATTGATAATGCTGAGTTTCTCATTGATCAGAGTGGTCTCTCCATTCATTTTATTGACTTCCTTGTTGAGTCTGCTTTCAAGAACTTTCCTTCTGGAATCATTCTCGATCAGCCTCTTGTTGACATTGTCGAACAAAGTTGACCTTTTGTGTGACTTGTGTAAGATGAATTCAAGCTCTTCTATTTTCCTGGTTAGGAGCTTAGTTCTCAGCCTTGACTTCTTCAACATTTTCTTTTGTCTTAAGTGACCTTTCAGCAGTTGGCTCTAGAAGTTCATGCAGAACCTTCCTGATACGAGTCTCGAAGGCAAACCAGTCGAGAGTTGGATTTGACTTTGAATCTTGGTCAGTCTTTGACATTTTAAATTATAAATAATTTATATTCTGGGGTTTTGGGGTTTTGGGGTTTTGGGGTTTTGGGGTTTTGGGG